TGAGAAAAAACTTTAAATCATAATTATTGACGGATAAGTAAACTTTTTACACGCTTTGGAAAATCTCAGAAGTTCGCGGTAGTCACTTTTCGGCAAGGAGCTAAGGGACTCAGTTATTGTATCGAGTGGGGGTTCGAAACGATCGCAAAGGTGGTATACGTATACGCGCCAAAATACCTAGTTAAACTACCTACACAAAACACAAAAGAACATGTCGTAAAGTCACAGAGAAAACTACACTAAACCGGTTGGAAAACTTTGAGTGGTTGAGAGAGAAAGCGGCAAACAACCGGAAGGGAAAGTGGTGGTGGAGTGAGAGCGCTGTATAAGGAGGGAAATTGGATTGAGGGAAAGGTAATACAATGGATGGGGTAGCGGACACGCTCGTCGCCCAGCTTAGGTTGTTACCACACGTTACGCGCTTTGATCTTCTATGATAGAGTAGGAGTAGGAGTAGTAGCATAGGACCTATATTTAATTTCACCGGCCAGTAAAATTTCTTGTTTTCTGGACAAAAACATTAATTGTGCGTACAGATCTTTGCATACACATTGTATGCATACTTATTGTTTATCTTGATGAGTGTTTGATCAAACATTTCAAGAAACAAACCACATTGAAGGTAAAAATATGGCGATGAATATAAATTTTAAAATTTTGCCTTCCTTTCAGCACTCTGCTGTTGGGGGTATAATGGGGAAACATAAACGTTTCGTTTGTGCACTAATAGGTGGGCAAGTGGAGACGGGGGCTAGTCTCATTAAAAATGAAGTTTCCACATATGTACTGCATTTTGCAATTTGGAACTATAAATTCTAGCCCGGTTTAAAAACGACGTATGTGCCATTAGTTTCCCTATGCACGCAACTGTTTTACCAGAAGAGCCAAAATTTATAGTTCCAAATTACAAAATGTAGTCCATATATCCCGCAGCTGATCCCCAAAAGATTGAGCTAGCTTTTAGACTGAAAGTATAAGATAAAAATCCTCAAAAAGGGTAAAAATTCCGCCAAGCCTGTGAGATCTTATCACAAAATTAGTAAGCTTGTATGTAAAAAAAATTAAAAAAGGAGAGGGTGGGGGGATACTAATCTCTTTGAAATTACAAAAGGAGAAAAGAAACGTAGCTCAAACTCTGTGTTCCATTTCAAACCTCAAAATGTCTGATATCATGTGAGGTCAAGATTTTTTAAGTATAGGTACGCCCCAGAACTAGAACGAGCAAACGGGAAATTACTTCTGCTGAGAGTCCCCTTCAGTTAGTCACGGACGCAACCAGCTTACCTTTGAAGCTAGTTTAGTTGCCTGGGTCACTAATACAAGGAAAGAAAGTTGGATTTGTTTCCTACGAGAAGATGGCGAGGGATAAAACAAGCAGTTCTTTTTTCAGTCTCAAACCTCAAAATATATGATATCTCTTGAAGTCAAGATTTTTTACCATCTCCTCATCTCACTCTCATTTTCGTTTTGCATTTTAGAAAACAAATTCCACTGTCATACATCATTGAACTTTATTTAATTTTTTGCCAATTATTCCCCCTCATTTCAGGTAGCCGCAACTCTTCTTACCCACAATAGCTAGGGTAGGTGGGGGTAAGAGTACGCATTTTTTGGTTTTTCCCGTATTTTCGTGACCGAATCGACTTTTAAGGCGGGAAAAGTGATCTGGCACCTACTGCAAGCCCTCGCGCACAAATGCCCTGCGTTGTCCGAATTTAGAAATCAAATCCATGGCCGTGACGAATTTTTTAAAAAAAATTTGAAAATGCGTACTTTTGCCCCATTTAATGGGGCAAAAGTACGGAGGTGAAATTTTTCTTTTAAAAACATCTCCTGGGCTCCAAATCGCTGTTAAATCCCGGAAAACTACTAAAAATGGTCTCAAAGGGTGCCAATAGTGCCTAACCACTTTTAATGAGAAAAAAAAAATAATGCAGTCTCCACAAGTTCCCAAAAAATTTTCGAAGTCAATTTTTTTTAAACAGGAAAATAAAAAAGTGTAATTGCCCAAATTGAACAAAGGAACATAAAAATTTATTAGGATACTTAGTAAGTTGCCTATGTCTTCTATTTCGAAGTTTCTATAACCCCCTCCCCCACTACACCCCACTTTTGGGCGCGTACTTTTGCCCCATTCTGGCTGCGTACTCTTGCCCCATTTGTAAACATTGGACAACATAAACTAAAACTTTGAGCCCAAGGCGCTAGGTGTGAAAACAACCACGGATTATTATAGCCAACACTGTAACACTTTGATACAGTGTCTGTCAGATTTTCTCCATCAACTATTTTACTCACAACAGACAATACAAATACTAAAAAAAATCGATCTTTTTCGCATGAAAAGTGAACTTGCCTCAAAATTCCGTCAAAACACACCCACTTCGCACAAAACTTCGTCAACAAAGTGGGACTCAATGTTGCCAACAACCAACACCTGGTGCCATCATAAATCCAAACAAAGCGCGCGAAAAAAGTGCAGTGCGTACTTTTACCCCGTGCGTATTCTTACCCCCACCTACCCTATGTAAGGAGCCATATTGTATACTTACGAGACCTTCGTCGTTTAGATCAAGAATAGAATAAATGTTTTCAATTCAGATTCTGGCACACTCTTCGAAAATTAAAAAAAGAAAGTCAGGTAGGTAGATGAAGGTAGAATTTTTAAAAGAGCAAAAAAAAAAAAAAAAAAATCTAAAAAATCAACAATTCTGGCGAGACGGTCCCGATACTCTTGTGGGTGTGGTATGGCTGAAAAGGTAGTGCCAATGATAAGGGTGATAGAGCGAGGTGCAAAATTGCCGAAAAATGGAAATGCATCTTTTTACCAGTTCGAGTCGATTTTTTTTTCTTCCTTTTCACCACTCGCCGTTTCCATGTCACCTAGGTCGTTCAAAATTCAGAACAGCTAATTACTGTGAGTGCCTGGCGGAAAAATCATAAATTCGACAGTCAGCTCCTTCATTTTTAGTGAACGAATAAATTTCTAAATAAAATTCCGGGATCTGCGACGAAACGAATTTCATATAAGCTTGAAGTGCTTGCTGGAATTTAAGAGGATTTTTTTCGAGCATTTATGTAATCCTTCCTTTGTTGTTCTACTTGCAATGCGTGAGGCTATACCTTGGTGTCTTAAATGAAACGGGCTGCAGCTGACACAATATTCTTCATTTATATTCATTTTATTAAATATAAATGTTGATATATATAATGATATAAAATTTTGTATTTAATATGGATGCGCATTCGAAAGCAAAATTCCGAGGCACGAAAGTGAATGCGGCGCGGGTGTTTTGAAAAATTGACCAAAAAACGGCAATTAACTAGCGATTATTAATTAACTGCATAATGAATTAGCTCCAAATTTCGCCTGTATGCGAGGAATTAAGTGTGCCAGCCAGAGGGCAAAGGGTTTTGAGTATCGTTAAGTTTTCGCGGAGATATTTCAAAATAACGCAAAAGTTGAACGGGTTCGTGTAAGATACCGTAGCGGGCTCCCATTCTCGGTTGTTGGAGATCTCTACAGGCTTGACGGGGTTGCTACCGCTCCTAGTAATGCTGGATAATATACCCAGCAGCCCAGGACATGACATAACTGTAAACAAAATACACACTGCAGGTATCAAGACCAGGGAGGCTGAAAGTAGGTATGCCTGGAAGGTATCTCTTCGATGGTTTAATGCATCCGCCCACCGTTTATTAGATATGATGTAGGGAACCATCTTTTACAAGATGACCAATGTATTACTTTCTGTATCGACGACGTATCTAAATCAAAAGTAGGCCTGTAATCATATGCATATTGAGACTTTGAGCCCTGTCATGCACGTATTCTTATGGATTTCAGGGCCGAACAAATAGTTTCTCTTGATTTAAATGCGTAAATTTGTACGCTGGACTATACAGGGTGATCCAAAAGTCCCTTCCATCCCCTCTAACTTTTTACCTAATTGAGGTAAAGATTTGAAACTTGGGGGATATTCCTAGGTCAAAGGGAGCTACTTTTTGGCCCCCCAAAAATTTTTAGGGGGGCGCCCCTTGGGGGGGGGGCAACGGCCCCCAACTTTTAATTTTCAAATGGGAAGACCCTCTTTGTGATAGCTCGTTCGAAAGAACATAAAAAAAGAAAACTTTTCGCGCAAACCCGAAGTCAATATCTCAAATCGTTTCAAAATGGCGGCCGGTTAAAGTTCAAAATGGCCGAAAATTCACGCCGGTTATTTGTCGATGGATTTGCGCGAAAATCGGTATGTGGGGGTATTTTGACACGAGAAAAACGAATTTAACGTTAGATTTTCAAAAAAAAACCGAAATTTCCAAAATGGCCGCCGGTTGAAGTTCAAAATGACCAAAAATTGATTTTTTCAGAAATCTAAGTTTAAATTTGTTTATCTTATGCCAAAATTTTCTCAAATTCCAAGTTTTAGGCAAATCCATCAGCAAAAAACCGAGGTGAAAATTTTCGGCGATTTTAAACTTTAATCGGCGGCCATTTTGGAAATTTCGGTTTTTTTGAAAATCTAACATCAAATTCGTTTTTCTCGTGTCAAAATACCCCTACATACCGATTTTCGCGCAAATCCATCGACAAATAACCGGTGTGAATTTTCGGCCATTTTGAACTTTAACCGGCCGCCATTTTGAAACGGTTTGAGATATTGACTTCGTGTTTGCGCGAAAAAATTTCTTTTTTTATGCTATCTTTCAAACGAGCTATCACAAAGAGGGTCTTCCCATTTGAACATTAAAAGTTGGGGGCCGTTGCCCCCCCAAGGGGCGCCCCCCTGAAAATTTTTGGGGGGCCAAAAAGTAGCTCTCTTTGACTTAGGAATATCCCCCAAGTTTCAAATCTTTACCTTAATTAGGTAAAAAGTTAGAGGGGGTGGAAGGGACTTTTGGATCACCCTGTACTATGGCCTCTTAGTCAATCTTACAAAAAAACTGGCACTTAGTTTCCTTTTGGATTGCTTTTTATCCTATGTTTTTTTTCTCTTTCATAGAGAACGTCTTTTCTGAAGTGTGTCAACCAACCCAATTCCAGTGTAAAAACAGATCTTGCATCAACGAAGTCTCTCTTTGTGATATCAATATAGATTGCCCAGATAGTGATGATGAAACTCAAGACTATTGTGGTAAGAATGCAATTCGTCCTTGAGCTTTAAGATTTTCTCACTGATCCACTCAAGCTGCCTATAGAGTAGAGAATTATATGTGTGTTGTTGTAAGGGTGTCTGAAACATTTCGCTAAGCTATGGAAACTGATCTGCTCAGAAGTAGTTATGATGGAAGAACCTTTATCCATAACTACTCGATTTTTAGACCTTTCAAAAATAGTCTTTGTCTATCAATTTCAGAAATCCGTCAGTGTTTTTGGTTTCTTTCAATTTTATTTGTCCCTTGGCTTAGTTACGAAATTGTGAACCTTGCTTCTTTCTGACATCCCTTTTCAAACTATACAGGATGTTCCAAAAGTCCCGCTCCCCCCCTCTGCTAACTTTCGAACGGTTAGAGATAGAAGAACAAAACTTTGATAATGTTTCTATCTTAAAGAGGACCATCTTTTAGGGGAGAGGGTCAACATTTCTGCTCCTCCCTCAGTGGAGAGGAGGGGGCAGGGGGCCCCCAACTTTTTTTTTCAAATGGTAAGAATATAACTCATGTTAGCAGAATTTCTCCATCCAGTTTTCACCAACTCACATGACTAGAGATTTCAACTCACATGAGTTCAGCGTTGAATCTATCGTGTCTTATACATCAGAAACTAGTCACCGCATCAAAAAAATCATACCAAAAAAATGTTTTTATTTTTCAAATTAACATATCATGTTGGTGTCCCCTGGTAATCATAACTCCGGTTCAACTTATCGCAAAGAAAAAAATGAAACGGGAAATAAAAATCGCAGAAATCACTTCGAACTAATTTTAAGGGGGGACGGGGGGTTCGGACCCCCACTTACGTCAATTCTAAGGTCATTCGATTTTCCCGCGAAATGAGCCAATTTCCCCTAACTTTGCCTCCACATTATCCCAGTAAGGTCAAAATCAGTTCAACATTACGTTTGCAAGTCCTCAAAGAGGTTGTCCCATTTTCCATAGGAAATGGCCGCAAGAGCTTTTCCATCCATACTTTCAGGAATCATAACGTATCATTGGTGAAGCCTAAATCCGGTGTCATTTCTCGTCTAGCCCCCCAGGGGAACGGGGGCAGGGGGTCAAAGGTCAAACGCTCCGACCGCCATAACTTTTGAACGAATCGTCGTATCAACTTGATCTTGGGCTCAAATGAAAGTTCTTGACGAGACCTTTCATTTGATGTATAGTAGGGGCCATTTTTTGGTAATTTTTCAACGTAAAAAAAATCATTTTTTGATTTTTCAAGCCCAAAAAATTCAGTTTTTCGGGGTTTTCTCTACTTAGGAACGCAACAATCATTACCAAAAACCAATTTAAATGAAAGCCCTTGATTCAAGCTTTAAAACGAGCTATCGTTGAACTTGGAGAAATGAATGGTTCAAAAGTTATGACCATGCAAAGTTGGCGTGGCGCGCTATTTTCGAAGCGCGCGGAGTGTATACTTGCCGGCCACCCCTCCCTACCTTTCCCCCTGAGGCCCGCTTCAGTTGATAACGGATACAGAAAGGTCCAAAGCTCCTTCCACCTAAAGAATGACCAGTCATTAGTGTTTAATTACTTTTATTTCTAATGGAAAAAGGGAATAAAAATAAATTAAATGCTAATAAACGATAAGACGCTAGCATACATTATTTTTTCGCCCTCCCCCCTCCATGATTTAATATTTGATGTAGCCAAATCAAACCTATCATCATTACGGTATCTGATTATTTCCGTGCAGGTAAATCTTGATGAGAGGGAAATAGATCGGAGAGAGGTGAGGGAGAGATATTCAGTATAGTAGGGCGGATAAGCATAACAATCGTGCATCTCTGGAAGAAAGCATGAAACTTTCAGGATATCATCTTCACCTATAGAAGGTTCGATTTCGCAAGTGAGCCCAAAATTCTGAGGCCATGGGGGCCGGGGGGGGGGGCAGGGGGCCCTGATTTCGTTATGTTCTGCCGGATTTTCGCGTTGAATCATTGTTAGAACGCCCTTAACAATGTAAAATGTAATCAAAACTTGAGTAAACATCATTAGTAGGTTCTCTCAAACAGTAAATTAAAATGTTATCACCGTCCGATCCCGGAGCACCCCTCAAAATGCCTAAAATTCAAAATGGCGCCCATAATAAGGCCTCCAGAATATCGGTATTTTCACTTGTGCATATCCTGTCATGTGAGGCATCATTTTCCATGTAATTATGGTCGCAGATTTCATATTTGAAGTCAAAACAATCCCCCGGTCAAAATTGGTGCCCCTAATCCAAGATGGTGGCCAAATTTTAAAGGCAGGAAGGTGCATTTTTATGAGAAAAAAAATCACGTGAGGTGACAAGTGAGGTATCAATTTATACGCATTTTTAGTCAACAAAACGAATCTAAATGAAATGTAAAACAAGTTGGATTTTGCAATCGCCAGCGATAGCAATATTCGTCATGGGAACTTTAGCTTCTGGGATATGAAAATGTTAAGGTACAGTTCGTTCGTAGTATCTTCTGAATTGAAGGGGCTATGTAATTTTGTGTTGACATCTCTTTTTTAACATTTTTAATTTTTTTCTTTGCATACAAGAAAGCTGTTATGTACCAATTATTTATTTTCGTTGTATTATATATGGTTTTCGGAAGTTAACGCATTTAAGTTCCAGGTTCGCTTTTTCGGCGTAAAGTATGATATTTTTACTCTACACGTATGCCCAAATACGCATCATAAGTGACCTATGTGCTTCCCAAGTTGCCAAGTATTAATTATTGTTTGATGATTGGTCTAAAGCATTCTATACAACCGGTAAAAATTAAAGTCCCCTACGAGATTCGAACCCCCGCTCGCATCCAAAGGAGACCACGACTGGTGCCAGGCTGGTGTCGGAGACAACCGAGCTATCTCGACGCTCATATAGTATGGGAGAAAAGAGAACACTGAAGTGATCTCGGACGCTGAGCGGGGCTTCACAATAGACGACCTTGACATCCGGCGACTGCCGTGATAAGAGACAACGGATTAAGCGCATTTCTCTGTGAGACATTGTTTGTCTATGCTTTGATGGGTCACAAGGTTCATCTGAGCATGCATTTGCTATCGCAGCAGTAAGCTGAGGCAATATTTATCTGTATTCATGGATTAAATCCATCAATCGAGTTCTGATTTTGGCTCATATCATTAATATAAACTTCGAAGGATTCAGACTTTCAGCGATTCTACCTTTTTCTATTTCACTCGAGAAGTTGCCAGATTGTGCGATAAATGTAAATATTTTACATGGATTTGAATTGAGAAAAGTATTAAAAAAGCAACTTATCTGGCAGCAATAGAGTCCGGAAGGGACGAGAGGCTGCCTTCCTGGGAAAACCCATGATTTAGCCGGAAATGTCATTAAAACAATTGATTCCGTTTGAAGCATCAATAAGGGGAAAGCTATTTTAAAATAATAATTTCAAATGGACGCAGATGCTACAGAAAGGGAAAAAGGAAAGGGAAAGGAAATGAAATGAGGATATGATTACTAATATGCAATCAGAGAGAATAAAACAAAAAATTAGAGACTCGTTGTTNGAGTGCGGGCTCATTGCGATTCGGAACTCGAACTATACTATCGTTGAGCAGTTTTTAGACCCCTACGCCACCGATAATCTTCTTAAGAGGTAAAGATGAACTTTTGCTACTTCAGCAAGTCAAATCGCGGTAGGAGATCCGTGGATTTTCTTTTTCCGCCACCTGATGGGATGACGTCCCAGTCAAATGCGTTCTTGAAGAAATGATCGATCCCCATCATCGCTTCATCTCCACGCATCTAGCTATTCATGTGCAAATGATGGCATGCTCCGGCAACAAGGTTCTGTGACGAAATCATTTTTGCCTCCAGAGTCTCCAAAATGTATACATCTTAATGATCAAATGTCCAATCACTGAGAAAAATGGCTCGCCAAGCGAGCCGAATGTCACTCGCGTGGCGAGTGATCGGGAGTCCAGGAGGCGCAGTCCCTTGGCTGGCCGTGACGGACGCGCAAAGCGCGTCCAGAACGGCTAGTATCCGTAACGGGTCCTCCAGAGCGATTTTCCACCTTGTACGATGGTTATTATTTCTTTACTTCTATTTTTAACATTTGAGGTGAGATAATGGCGGCTTCTCAAGAGCAACTAGGTAGGCGATCTTTTGCACCAACGGACAGAAAACTGATGGCGAAAAATAACCAATCGGAACCTCCCAAAAAAAAGAATTTGCCTAAATTCGGAAATCGGTGGTTCTGCGCAGATTTACCAGTCAGACACGACATCTCAAGGCGAAAAAAAACTCGCGGAAAGCGAATTTTAGAATTCTACACAACTTGACGTAGAGACATGATTGGCGAAAGAACACAACGATTTTTGATACATCCGAAAATTAACCAAAGATTTAAGAGTGGGCGATTCGCTCAAGGTCGCAGAGACATAGGGAATCACATAGCAAAAGCAACGGAACGATTGTAAAGACAGGGGAACTCCGTTCCCATGCCAAAAAATCTTTTACACAAAAATGAAAAGAGATAATAAAGATGTTTGCCATCATGGCTGACATGTGAAAAGTGATGAGCCACTAATAGTGAGGAGTCTTACTGATTACTGCACAAAAACTCTGAACTCAATTTCAGATGCCCTAGACTCAGAGGACGAACAATTAATAAGTACCGAAAATAATATAGAAAACTTTCAGTTGGTTTCAGATGGTGGGTCTCTACTCCATCGAGTGCGATCAAAGCATAGGTATACTTACGAATCCATTGCACAAACCTATGTTCCATCAAATTGATGAGCAGACACAAATGTTTCTTTGCGTTTTCGAAGTGATGTTAAAAACGCGCCAAATCCGAGATGATCGGTGTTCTTCCATGCGTTAACTGGTTACGATGCAACCCCTCACATCCATAAAATAGAAACAGCAACTTTATTCCGTACGCTTTTATCTGATCCTTACCGGCAAGAATTTAAAGAAAGGTTCTTGGAACCTAATCAAAACCATGAACCGATATGAAGAGCTGGAAAAGAGTAAATCGATGGTGAAACTGCTTAAATACGTATTTCGGTTTGCGGTGTTGCAGATTTCTTGTCATACTTACTTCAGTTCCTTCATCAAAAAATATTGAACGTCATTTCTTGAAAACTTCGCTTGTTTTTACTCTCTATGTGAGGAATATTCTGTAAAATTTCAAGCCATGATGTTGGGTTGGTCCCCTTTCAAAAAATGAAATAGGAGCGAATATTTTGAAATCCCGCAACCAAGATACGCACTTTTGCTGTTTCACCGTCGAAATATTACTCCTCTACGGTATAGCCAAAAAAATGTGACTTTCGACGACCTCCGTCATCACATATCGAAGGAAAAAGTTCCAGCTTTCAAATTCTTCAATCAATTAGAGAAATTATACCCTCGACATCATCAGCAATGAAGTAGGTAACATTAATTTGGGAGCTACTTTTATACTCAACTGTGGATGGGATGAAGTGATCTGGATGCTTGTCTTTGGGGATGGATGAATAAAAACAAGGAGCTTCATCCTATTTTAAGTGACATGCCACCAGCTCCTGGAATCCCCGCTTAAAATTATCCGGTGTAATTGTAAGAAAGGGAGTGACACCATGCTGTACTTCCAAGAAAATAATCTTTTCGTTCTAAGACTCATGCAGAAGTTCTGAAGACTCCAACTGTAAAAACCTAAAGAACTGTAGGAGGAAGATCCTGAAGAGCCTGACTGGGAATGTGAATCAGCATGTGTTGATTAAGATTTTCTCCTACACTGACTGGAGAGGGTACGACAGATGCGTTGCGTGAAACGTCATCTTTATTGAGATATTATATGGGCTTAAAAATGAATAAAATAACTCATTATGTATATGCTCCTGTTAACAGCATTACTAACGTGGACGGCCAAACTGATCACTCTCTTAATTATCTAGTCTCATTTTTGTGTAAAAGATTTTTTTTTACATTTCGTTTAGATTCGTTTTGTTGACTAAAAATGCGTATAAATTGATACTTCACTAGTCACCTCACGTGATTTTTTTTCTCATAAAAATGTACCTTCCTGCCTTTAAAATTTGGCCACCATCTTGGATTAGGGGCACCAATTTTGACCGGGGGATTGTTTTGACTTCAAATATGAAATCTGCGACCATAATTACATGGAAAATGATGCCTCACATGACAGGATATGCACAAGTGAAAATACCGATATTCTGGAGGCCTTATTATGGGCGCCATTTTGAATTTTAGGCATTTTGAGGGGTGCTCCGGGATCGGACGGTGATAACATTTTAATTTACTGTTTGAGAGAACCTACTAATGATGTTTACTCAAGTTTTGATTACATTTTACATTGTTAACGGCGTTCTAACAATGATTCAACGCGAAAATCCGGCAGAACATAACGAAATCAGGGCCCCCTGCCCCCCCCCCCCGGCCCCCATGGCCTCAGAATTTTGGGCTCACTTGCGAAATCGAACCTTCTATAGGTGAAGATGATATCCTGAAAGTTTCATGCTTTCTTCAAGAAATGCACGATTCTGGGAACTTTTCCCCCTTATCCGCCCTACTAGTAGTAAATGCGAATTTCAAGTGCTGTAAGGCCAGTTGCGTACCACACACTATGAATATTATCTACAGCTTTTGAGTGTATTTTGTGGTAAAAAAAGCTTGATTTGGCTATTAAATATTAAATCATGGAGGGGGGGGGGCGAAAAAATAATGTATGCCAGCGTCTTTTCGTTTATTGGCATATAATATATTTTTATTTCTATTTTTCCGTTAGAAATAAAAGTGATTTAACACTAATGACTGGTCATTCTTTAGGTGGAAGGAGCTTTGGACCTTTCTGTATCCGTTATCAACTGAAGCGGGCCCCAAGGGGAAAGGTAGGGTGGCAGGTGAGTATACACTCCGCGCGCTTCGAAAATAGCGCGCCACGCCAACTTTGAACGGTCATAACTTTTGAACCATTCATTTCTTCAAGTTCAACGATAGCTCGTTTTAAAGCTTGAATCAAGGGCTTTCATTTAAATTGGTTTTTGGTAATGATTGTTGCGTTCCCAAGTAGAGCATACCCCGAAAAACTGAATTTTTTGGGCTTGAAAAATCAAAAAATGATTTTTTTTACGTTGAAAAATTACCAAAAATAGACACTACTATACATCAAATGAAAGTTCTCGTTGAGAACTTTCATTTGAGCCCAAGATCAAGTTGATCCGACGATTCGTTCAAAAGTTATGGCGGTCGGAACGTTTGACCTTTGACCCCCCCCCCCGCCCCCCTCCCCTTGGGGGGCTAGACGAGAAATGACACCGGATTTAGGTTTCTCCAATGACACGTTTATGATTCCTGAAAGTATGGATGGAAAAGCTCTTGAGGCCATTTCCTATGGAAAATGGGACAACCTCTTTCGGGAAAAGTTAAAAAAAACGAAACTTAAACGGTCTAATTTAGTCACCTTAAATTTCGTTTTTTTAAAACTTTTCCTGAAATTTGGGAACTTGCAAACGTAATGTTGAACTGATTTTGACCTCACTGAGATGATGTAGAGGAAAAGTTAGGGGAAATCAGCCTATTTCGCGGGAAAATCGAATGACCTTTGAACTGACGTATGTGGGGGTCCGAACCCCCCCCCCCCCCCCCCCGTCAACCTTTAAACCCATATATGCCCATTGGGTCTCGACTCATCCCAGATTTTGTTTTTGAGTGTTAGTGTAAATTAGGGAATTTCACGTGTTCAACACAGGATAATCCATGTCTGGGATATAGCCAAGCCTATTTTATTTTTGTCATGCCTCAACACGTATTTACCCAACATCTACATAACGTCAAAAACAACAAGTAAGTAAAAAACATAAATTTAAAAAAAAAAATAGTTTTGGGCATATGTGGGTTAAAATTAGTTCGAAGTGATTTTTGCGATTTTTAGTTATAAGCGAACAAAATTTGGTAATTTGCCGTTTTATTTTTCTCTGTACGATAAGTTGAACTGGAGTTATGATTTTTTGAAAATAGGTCAAATTTGACCTTTGACCTATCATAACTCAATCAAAAATTAAGAGATTCATCTGCGGTTAACGCCAAAATTCTTAGTTTGTGTGCTTTCCAATGATGAATCACAAGAAAGGGTTTACCATTTGGAGAAAAAATTTTGACCCCCCTCCCCTCCCTAAAAGATGGTCCTCTTTAAGATAGAAACATTCCCAAAGTTCCGTTCTTCTATCTCTAACCGTTCGAAAGTTAGAGGGAGGGAGCGGGACTTTTGGAGCACCCTGTATTTGATAATTCTTTAAAAATTTTTCTTTCTCTCCTGTGACTCTATTCCTTCTTCCTTTCTCTTCCTCTTCCCCCTCTCTTGCTTTGTACTAAAATAAATTCATTTATATATCTTATAGAGTACATAGAGTCACAATGTACTGGAGCATCGATGAAGTCAATCCATTAATAGGCTATTCGGAGCCCCTTGTTCGCAAAGTGTGAACCAAAATTTTTTAACACGACGGAAAATCGTGGGCCGCAAGTGGTTTCCGCGGCTTATTAATTCAAATTTTTAATCTTTATTAATTTTCGCGAATTTTGGCTGTAATTATGCTGACCAAAGTCATACACTCAGCATAAAACCTTAATACAATCTTAGTATAATATTGCACATCTTACACATCAACATTGCAGCCATATTATATCCATCTTAGTAAGAATGAGGTAAGATTGCATCAATGTTGATGTGCTACTGCCAGGGACTTGCCTGAACATTGCAACAACATTGATAGTAAGGTTGAAGTAACATTACAATAATCTTACATAATATTGATATGCCCCCGTCAACATTGTTATCAGGTTGAAACTTCTTGACATCTCCTTAATTGCCGGTCTATATCAAGCTTACATCGATGTTGATATTGTCAGTCTTATCCTGACAATACTGATTTAACATTCCATCCATATTAGTAACATTACATCATCATATGTCAGCAAATAACAACATTTCTTTAAGATATCATGCTGAGTGGGTAACTAATTAAAACATGCACGAAACTACACGGTTGTTTTCTTTAAATGTATGCTATACCTCCTACCTGCGTCTTTTAAACGAAGTCCGGAGCTGAGTCCCTATGCATAGGTACGGCATCGGCAGTCGTCGCACACTAGTCTAAGGAGTCCTGGACAAGACAGTCGCCGAAAGTTACTTCATCGGTTTTTCAGTACATTGCAACTCTATTGTAGGTACTCTGTGATATATCTGTACGTAATATGTAGGTACAATTTTATCGTTTTTTCCCCCAGAAAAAACTCCTTCCTTTGCCAGATGCTCATTTGAATCAGGATGGTGTGGTTGGCACGCAACGCCTCATGGTCAACTCTCTTGGAGAAATAATAGTGGACCAACTCCCACCCAACATACCGGCCCCAGCGTTGATCATACTTATAAAAACAGTTCTGGTATGCTCTTTTAAAGAACTCTTTGTAATATTATGTCGTATACTGCTTTACAGGAATGTATCAGGGGCCACAGCGTGAAACCATGCATTTTAATTGTGGCGTTCCTACATATCTGATCCTATTTTATATTTTCGAAGAAAATAAGAAGAGAAAGAAGCTAACTTTATGACCTGAAATTTATACCTACGAAACACTCTGTTGACAGAGAAGAAAACTCAAGGCAGTCTTCAAGAAATTAAGGTGACTAGTTTACCGTGGAAAAAATTGAAGAGGACGGCAACCCTACCGAAAATTGGATAGCATTAAAAATTGAAGCAGGAAGGTATATGAGGCAAAATGGTCGTGTTTCGAATGAAAAATTCGCCTAATCGGCAGAGATTTGAAGGATTGAAAGTCTAACTGGTGACGTCATGCGCTCTTGGTGCGACTGCGGTTCACTACTGAGATGGTAAATCATTCGCATTAAGTAAAAAAACAAAAACAACAACAACAAGTGGTAACACTCGCACCTAAACAAAGGAAAATGAGTCGGCGAGGAATGAGCGCGATCGGGGCGAACTAATAACTTGTCGCCAACACACGTCGGCCACTTGACCCTGGAGACAGAATGCAGAGTGTAGACTACGAAATACGAGACGCAGCTCATGACGTCGCGCGCTCAGCTGTTTTTTCGCGATAGCAGCTCAACGAATGCAGATATTCTCAAACGGATTTCGACGTCGTGCATTCCACACTTTTCTTCGTCAACATAGCCAAACTTGTTCTTAAGGTTGCTGTCCTCTTAAAGTATGACAGGGAGTCTGCAACGTCGCAAACGGAGATACTTGGTTTCGTACTTTATAGTCATTGATACATATGCCTAGGTGAATCTGAGTGCAAGTTAAATGAAATCAGAAACAAGCAGAGACGGTGCATGCCCTAGAGTGCCTGTATACGGGAGAGTATTGCCATCTCTGTGCTGCTCTCTGATCGATTGGTTCATCAGTTTTAGGTTATCATAGAGCTCCAAAGTTGGACCAATGTACATAAACCCGATCCAGAGGAATAGGTGTTATCGGCTGGCTGAGAAATGCATAATAATGACACTCGGAGATTAATTCTCGGCAAAAATATCCATTATCGGTCGATCCGAACTCAATTAAGAGGTTGATCATAAAAAAATTTCTATCACATCCAAAATCACGTCTAGACATTTGTAGAACTTAGTCGCCATCTTATTTGTTTACATTGGGCCCATAGTAGGGGAGGGGCTGGGCAGAGTCTACAAGAGACCCTCCACTGGTATCTTGGCCATGGTGGAAGCTGTTACTTTCGGGACGTCAGCATTCTACTGTTGACTTACTTACATGGTTGATGCTCAACAACGTGTTGGCAGTTCCGTTTTGCGAACAAGCCGAAAATGGCGGAAGTTTAGGAAACTTGTTTGGCTCATGCCATCACCCGAGGCTCATCAGCCACCGTGTAGGTAAGTCAACAGCCGAAATTAGGATGATGACTGTTGCTCACTTATAATTGTCCATAAGGAATTGTTGAATCTCCAAAAATAAAATAAGCTTCCACCTGTCGCCAAGAGGCCAGTGGAGGGTCTCTTGTCTCTAGGGTCGGGGTTTGTCTACATTGGTCCAACTTTGGGGCTCCATGATAGACGACCAATCAGAGAGCGGCACAATTTTTCTGTAGTGAAAGGATTGAGATGGCAATACTCTCTCGTATACAGGTATACTCTACATGCCCCTATCTAGCCAATTGAATTGACTTATGCCGGAATCACACGCTGAATTTGGCAGTTGAATATAGAAGTCAATAGTCACCGCTCAACATCTGAAATTTCGCAAATTCGAGTTATTTTCATCCAGATATGCAAAGCCGTTATCAAAGTAGAGCTCTCAAAGTGGCGCATACACGTGACCCACGTGACCCTCATCTTCCACCAGCCGCATCGATGCGCCACTTTTAAGAGCTCTACTTTGATCGTCAGATACCAGCTCAATGCCGGAATCACAAGGTCTGGATACACGATCAAATGGAGATGTTGCATGTGTGAGGGATTTGCGATTCGACTGTTGTTTCGTATGTAAAAGTTCGTGAGAAACACGATGGTGGCACTGGTTTTCTCTGAAATCAACTCCCAAGCGCAAAAAAAACTCTCAAAGTGAGGCCAAAATGGAGGGGATATCCCGCCCTACCCTGAGAGTCCACTTCTACATCAAAACAAACTCTCCATGCAAAGATAGCGAGCAAATACATTGACAGGGCTGCCACTTCATTTAGGGACTCCAAAACTGAAAACACGGCAACCCTGCGAATGTATTTGCTCCCTATCTTTGCATAGAGTACCTGTATAAGTACCTGTCTAAGGATCGCCGTTTTTACTAGAAGGCATCATTAATCAATTATTTATTTGAAGATGTCTCATAATATAGACAAGTCGTTTCTGAATATATGAATTCATCACATATCGTGAAGAGTTTTACGATAAAGTTTAGTGGTTTGATTAAAAATTTCAAAACCATTATTGTTCGATCAAAATTCCAATCGAACTTTATGATTTTGTGAAATTGACAGTACTTTTCTAAACAATCCAGTAAAAGTGCCTATGCCGGCGCCGGCAAAAGCGAGAAAGTCTCGTGCGATCCTCGCACTATGATGGGGGGGGGGAGGAAGCCCCTCCATATGCCGGCGCCTGCACCGCCCATAGATTGGCCGTAAACCAATTTATTTATTCCCGCAAGGCTCAGCGGTAGGTCCACGCTAGGTCTAATCAACGATTCTGCCGTGATAGCGAAGAGAGGGATCGAGATAGTGCAAAAATGAAGTTCTAAGAAAACAAGCTCAGAAGCTTCTGACCGGAAAATTTTACTAATGAAGCATCTGTTCTTCGTCAAATTGCCACTAATCGCCCGAAAGACTTTTTGAAATCATTCGGATGGTTAAAAATCGTCCGATTTTATTTCAAATAGGTACATTGAAACGGTATTTTTCATTTTTATGGTAGGGTATTGTTAGGCAAGACAGCCGTAAGTGTTATCCTCTGCATGCTTTCCTGGTTGCATTTTGGACACTCTACAAATACATTTTTAGGTTAGAAATTCGCAGAAAAAGGCGGCTCTTTACTTGGAGGCACTGTTTTTATTGGCTCTCTGGAAAAATATTGTCCTTTACTGCTGCCTTGCCTGAAACTACGTCATTTTTTTAAACTTACGGCTTTCTCATTTGTCTCGTTTTGATACAATTAAGATGAAATTTGCTGAGCTTTTTCAGTAATTTCATCTGTAAAAGTTTAGACGAATTTTAAGGGATATTCGATTTCGAAAATTTGACCCTAACTACTCTCTTCGCTATCACGGCAGGATTATGGCAGACGCTGCCGAGCGCGCATGATCGCAACTCGGCCATGCCCCCACCGTGTTGGACGGACTGTGTTGTTTCAATCGCCATGATAGGCCTTGTCTCCACGGACGTTTCATAGGATTAGTCCCAGAGAAAAATCCCACTTGCGAAGTTGGGATAAATATTGGGTTAGTTAATACTAATCACAGTGCCAAGCAAAGACATAAAGACGGATCTGCTCGTATCTAAAAGCACGGGGAAAAAGTGAAGCCTGGTTTGGCGCTGGGTGGTTAGCAAATTAAGTGAGTGTGTAAATGAGCGCGGGAATCCATGGTGGCAAACGGAAATTTGATTTGAACTTGTCCTCTTGATTTTTCCACATTTCTTCTTCGAAACGCATTTTAAATGTCTAAAACGAATACCTAAATTAAGAAAGTTGGGACTGCGTCCTATTATAATACACCTACTTTTGCTCGGTATCAGGCAGTAATCTCAGATAAAGTTAGTTTTTCTTCTGCTCATGGTGGTTCTACCGGTTCAAACAGGCCGTTACAGTCTATAAGATGACCGTTACTCCCAAATGAAATTAATCGGTCGACGACGGACCAAAACTAACCTAAAGTTATAGAAATATGGGTGTGTAAGTGAATTTGGGCAAGAATCAACCTAAAATACTTTGTTTCCGCAATTTTATTCAGTTCCCGCCCTACATTTGAATTTCAAACTTGTCCCGATTTCGCCGCCAATCCTCTAGCCAATAGTAGAGTCCCTTTATACCCAGAGTTAAGACAACTCGATTATCAGCTGACTGGCAGCTGGCCTTGGCTGGCCATGGAGGCCGAAACGAGTGCACCCAAACGAACGATATTGAGTAGAGTACCTATACAGGTACTCTAATATTGAGGGGTAAGGATCAGGAATCCTGCGATGTCTGTCACACAAAAACAACAACATCAACAAATTGATCAATTAAAAAGAAAATGAGATTGGTTTGTGAGTAATTTCTTAATCTCTTTTCATTTTGGACCGATGGAAATGACAATTTACTCTTGATAAACCACAATTAGGTGATATTTTCATTATTCTTGTTCACATTCGAGGTACCGCCATCTTGGTGCACTCGTTTCGGCCTCCATGAGCGAGAACCAATCAGAATTGGATTTTTTTTTAGGCCACTTTCAGCCGAACCAAAAGTGAGTTGTCTTAACTCTGGGTATAAAGGGACTCTAGCCAATAGTAGAGGTGATTGAAAAGAAGCTTCATTTTTTGCTTTTAGCGCTCCGTCTTGTCTTTGGTGCCAAATAAGAGTCCTTGTGGAGTCCCTGGAACGACTTAAAAAGAAGAAGAATAAATTTTGGTTTGTTGTTAAACGGGGGAAATGCCCAGAAGTTTCGTTCCTGCGATTCAAACTTGGGAAAAATCCCATGAAACGTCCCGTGGAGACAAGGCATAAGATCTATTTTTTTTTTTGTTCACTTTCGAGCCACCGCCATCTTGGTGCACTCTTTTGTGACTCAATGAGCGAGAACCAATCAGAATTGGATTTTTTTTCAGGCCACTTTAAAATTGGCCACACAGCAAAATTGAAATGTCGTAACTCTGGGAATAAAGGGACTCTAGATTCGAAGACTGTTCTCCATTATGAAATGACCTTTTAGATTTTAATTCATAATTACAGATGCTGTCTCAGGGCAGGGTGTATCTTGTAAATGTGTAGAACTTTTAGGAATCAAGAATTATGTACCATGTCTGCCTTACGATAATTAATGAATATGACATTCAGATTTCTGCAACTCTTTTTTGTTTGCTATTTGCTGTTTGCAAATGGGTAGCGCGTATGATGTAATGCCTCACTTTAACGCACTCTATACAAACTGATTTTAGGGAAATGTTTCTAGGGTGCCAAGAAAAAACTTGAAGAAAATGGCAAACCTTGGTAAAATATAGGGTACCTACCGCTAAAATGAAGGTCATATAATTTTGTACCTAGTTGAAAAATTGCATAAAGTTAGTCACATTGAGTTTGCCATTTCTCTCCAAGTGTCAGCTTGTCATCGTCATACCAATATCAATTTGCCCCTGGNATATGCACCTATGCTTGCGGATACCCACTATTGCTCTGCAACTACACATTCATGGCGACTACTAACCGGTGACCACCTTGCAACTACCTTGCGAATACACTGCGCCTACTGATGACTACCCTTGACAACCATGTGACTACACTGCGACTTCTTACATATGCACACGGCTATGCTATGTATTCGCAGCATAGTCGCAGCGTAGTCGTCTTTTTTACCAGGGGCCAGACGCAAACTTGTTTCGCACGAGCCCCGTACAATAGGGCAAGGAACGTTTTATAACAAAAAATATTTGTTTGTCACTTGTTTAGATTTTTGCATTCTTCGTTTACCTCTTGAACGGTAATCTATTTCCATTGTTCCTATCTGTCTTATGTTTTTCGGACCCATTTTAACCCCCTTCATAGTTCCTTACTGAGCTTCATTCATGTCTCCTCCTTAAAGACAACGTATCATTCTTTGACCTTTTTCTGCTTGAAAGATAAAGTTTGCTGCTCTTTGTTTCAGGTGTTTACCTGTATGTTGACATGTCAAACCAGGACAATATCTTAGGAGCAAAAGCCAATTTAGACAGCCCAGTTTTCAATCCGCCCCCATTTTATCACATTAATGCATCATCGCTTCATTACAATTCTTGTCACGTAAGTTGTCCGTGGTTATGTAATATATTAAGTTTGTTGCTCCAAAGGCATCGCTTTTCTTTTTAAAATTTTTGTGAATGTGGGTTTATTATTTCTATTATGTAAGTACTCAGCTTTTGTTGTTTTTGCATCAGTTTAGGTACTCACAGCCCTATACCTTGTTTCTTCGGATTTTTCTCCATTCAGTTGGTAACGTCAGTTATAATTTTGATATTGGTGTAGTATAGATCTTAGGCCTTGTCTCCACGGGACGTTTTCATGGGATTTGTCCCAAGTTCGAATCGCAGGAATGAAACTTCTGGGATTTTTCCCAAGTACCGTCTCCACGGGACGGGGCTCATACAGTCCTGCGACTAGTTTGCGCGGGAAGATAAATTAGTTAAAGTCGAGTATTTAACCGGGATTAAAATAATAATTGCACTCAATTGACAATTAGACACATTATTTTAACCAAACAAACATTGACAATGTATTAATGAATAAAATATCACACAATTCGTTTTCACTTCTTCTTCTTCTCTTCGTGGGTCCTAGGGATACAAGTACCATACTTGGTAGGTACTGGGAAAAATATTGATTGACTCAATATTTTTCCCAACTTCGTAAGTGGGATTTTTCCCTGGGACAAATCTCGTGAAACGGCTTGTGGAGACAAGGCCTTAGGCTTCGTCTCCACAGGACGTTTTCATGGGATTTGTCCCAAGTTCAAATCGCAGGAATGAAACTTCTGGGATTTTTCCCAGTTACCGTCTCCACGGGACGAGGCTCATACGGTCCTGCGGCTAGTTTGCGCGGGAAGATAACGTAGTTAAAGTCGAGTAACCAGGATTAAAATAATAATTGCACTCAATTGACAATTAGACACATTATTTTAACTGAACAAACATGAACAATAGAGTAATCAACAAAATATAGCACAGTTCGTTTTCACTTCTTCTTCCTCTCTCAGTGGGTTCTAAGGGTAAAAGGACCATACTTGGTACTGGGAAAAATATTGATTAACACAATATTTTTCCCAACTTCGTAAGTGGGATTTTTCCCTAGGACAAATCTCGTGAAACGGTCCGTAGAGACAAAGCCCTAAGGGCTGAGGAATGACTGAAGATGCCCAGGAATGACATGACAAGATTAAAAATACCTTTCACGAGGAGAGGAAGGAAGTATGTGTGAAATCAAGCCTTAGGTATTTGCCTAACCTATAGGTTGATGCCTAATCTGACCCATGATGATCATTGTTTTTCGGCGAGCAGGAAGTTTGAATTTACTATTTATAATGTAAACCACGAATGTTTGTTTCTTACTCACTAGTTAATTTTGGAAGTTTTCGATGCAATCAATGTGCACTGGGTGAAATTTTGATACGGAAACAGGTGCCGTAATGCTTAAATTTTCATCCTACTTACGTATTGATACATTGATGTAACACATCTTTGTCCATCATCTTGTTCTTAGAACATCAGAGAGGGCAAAGAGGAGTAATTTAAATTTTTTTACACTCTCATTTGTCCTCTGGCTATTCCTGCAACAACATTTCCAAATTCAAGTTCATTCTGAAATTTCAGAAAAAAATATTCTTTCTTTGAGAGTACTTTTTCTCATTTTCCTAATGCAGCTGTGGGGAATGTAGATGTTGCATGTGTGAGGAGTTTGCGATTTGACCGTTGATTCTTACGTAAAAGTTCGCGAGAAACACGATGGTGCTACCGGTTTTCTCTGAAATCAACTCCCAAGCTCAAAAAAAGCTGTCAAGTTGAGGCCAAAATGGAGGGGATATATCATGCTCTCCTGAGAGTCCAAGACAAACTCTCCATGCAAAGATAGGGAGCAAATATATTGACAGGGTTGCCACTTTATTTGGGGACTCTAAAATTGAAAACACATCAACACTGCTAATGTATTTCCTCCCTATACCTTTGCATGGAGAGTTTGTCTTGATGTAGAGGTATGGCAAGGTGGACTCTCAGAATAGCATGGGATATCCCCTCCATTTTGGCCTCAACTTGAGAGCTTTTTTTGAGCTTGGGAGTTGATTTTAGAGAAATCCAGTGGCATCATCTATACGTTTTTCGCGAACTTTTACGTATGAATCGATAGTCAAATCGCAAATTCCTCACACATGCAACACCTTCATGCTCAGGCAGTGAGGCATAAAAACATTTGCACTGAGTAAAAAAGGAAAGAAGAAAAAACTAAAAAAGCAAGCTCTGCATGCTCATTTTAAGTACAAGGATGTTCACGAATTGACTCCTATATAAAACTGTATCATCCTAAAATTAAATCAACCTTCAGCGACCTGTACCCCCTACTATTTCCCTTTACATGTAACTGCGGGGCGATTATTGAAATGATATCGACTCTATGTTGCCGCTTTATCGTGTCGCGCCATAGACTGAGTGGCTCTNATGACACGACAATAATTATGTCAATGACCATTCTGTGATAATATGTCAGATAGTTTGGCTGCGGATTGAAATTCCTTCTCCCAGTCAAAAATTTGCACATTTCAGTTTAAACAGACTAAAAGTTAAGTACCTAACGTAAAAATTAAAAAAAATTTTGTGAGAAGAATTTATATGAGATACACCTAATGTCAAAAGAGGAGATTCTAAAATCAGGGAAAAGTTAGTGACTTCTACGTTTTAAATCCCAGAAGAGTCAGAGAATTTTGAAATCCAAGAAGACTTGTTATGGTGGTTCATTTAAGAACATGTTTATACTAAGCTAATAGGTAGTGTAATTATCCCAAATGCAGGAGTGAGCAACTGACTTAACTAAATCTACTACTGCTCTACTGTCACAGAAGTCGTCAATCACAGAGTTTTCAGAAATTTTGTTAAATTATTTATCAGCAGAGAAATGAAAAGACTCAGAAAGTCTAAAACTTTGTGGATTGCGGTAAATAGTTTCCCAGTTTAGCCACGGCACTGATACATTCGTCTTGTCATTACGTAATCATTATCAATAAAAATATGCCTACACGGGAAAAAAAGATTTCCTGAATTTAAGTAAACGCGTCTACTTGGATTTTTTACTTATTTCAAAACGGGTTTGACTTGGAAGAAACCAATGGTTTTCTTAATGTAAGACAACATGATTCACTTGAAACAAGCGAATCGTGTTTTCTTAAGTAAAATAAACGTTGTTTTAAAATAAGCCAACTTTTGCTTGAATGAAGAAACCAGTTTCTTCAAAACTAGTAAACGGCGTGAACGCATTCCGAGTCCGGCCGTTGCCTCTTTTTAGTTCAACAGCTTGCTTGATAAAGTAAAACGCGTTGCGTCAAAAGAAGATACCAGTTTTCTTAAAATTAGGAAACGGGGCTAACTCCTTTCGAGGCGACCGGATGCAATTAGCAATACGCCCGTTGATTTTTTTCAATTCAACAGCTTGCTCGGTACAGTGAAACACGTTGCGTTGAAAGAAAAAACAGGTTTCCTCAAAATTAGTAAACGGCCCTGTCAAAACGGTCCCATTGGAACCCGTAGGAAATCCCAATGGGAACCCGTAGCAAATTCCCACGGGGACCCGTTGGGAATTGACCATGGTTCCAATGGGTTCCAATGGGGATAGTCAGTCAAGAACCTGCGGGTTTGGATCTATCCCCATTGGAACCATGGCTAATTCCCAAAAGGTCCTCATGGGATCGCTCACGGGCTCCCATTGGGATTTCCTACGCACTCTATCAAGTAGATGTGGAAGTACAGGCATGGACCGTCATTTTCATAGTTCTGCACATGTATTACAATTGAAGCATGAAATATACACAAGTATACAAGTATTGAATATTATAAACCGCTTACCTGAAGTCCTGCGACGTTTAGAGGCGTAAAAAATACCCGGTCACCCGGTCCTCGTGTGGACTTGAACCTGAACCGCGGAATTCCTAGCCCAGTACTCTGCCATTGAGCCACAGGGAGCTGATGGTGTTTCGGGTTAAAATCACGACTGTTAAGGCTGTTATGGCATGCATTGCGTCAGGGCGCGGCTCAACTTTCATCATAGCTTTGATTAATGCCGTGTTTTCTCAGGCTTCTTTCTTTTTTGTATTATTTTTTTTCAATATCACGTACTAGGTACTTACACTAAATTTACACTGGTGTAAATTACACCACATACTAACTTGAGAACTTAAAAATATTTTTAAAATATTTGCCAAACTTTTTTAAGGAATATTTTAAAAATGGTTACCTGCAATATTTTTGAATGATTTTAAAAATACTTTTTGTAAACATTTTCAAAATATTCCCCAAAAAAGTTTTAAAAACATTTTAAAAATATTTTGAAAATATTTTAATTACAATATTGTCATGAAAATATTTTGATAAAGGTAACAATATATTCAACATATTTTGTGCTAACTGGGTATGTTGCCGGCACGGGCACTTGCTAGCAGGTTTGATGGAGCTCCAAAACTCCTTTTGGAGCATTTAATTGAATGTTATTCCTAGAATGTATTGGGTCTTAGTGAAAAAACCAGTGTTAGGTATTAATTTTAAATAAATAAATAATGGCGACTTCATTCCCTTCTTTAGGAGGTGGCTATTTAATACAGTGAAATTCCTACTTGTTTGTATTACTTCGTAATGTGTCTCTAAAAGCGTCCAAATCTCGAAAATCCCATCTTAGACACCAACGTAATTAATAATTAAAGCAGAAGATTATTTCTTTCTCGCCGAAAGTGACACAACCAATAATACCTGATTCTTATTTTTACCCATTTTTCACTACGTTGTATTTCTTCGGACAATTAAAACGCAGTCACCGATATTTTAGTAATCGTAGTCAAAAGAACCATCCCTCTTTTTTACTGTCTGAGGATTTTCAAATTGTGCTCCTGAAAAGATTTCTTCTGTGACACTCATGTACATTTTTCTCTGAATCTGATGAAGATATTTTCAATTTAATCCCCGTTAGATTACTGATTTTCCGTTATGGAAGCAAGCTGAAGCGTTTTTTTTTTAAATTTTGGACGATTAAAGTTTTTAGAGGTTACCGAAGTC